AATGAGCGAGCTAGTCCTGTCTGACACGTCGCTCCCAAACAAGGCTGCACCTCTGGCCAAGACCACGAAGAGTGGCTGCTGCAGGTGGTCAAGAGGAATAGCAATGGTTTTGAAATTCAGCTAAAGAAGCGTCTGAGATGTCTTCAGAATGAATTAGGCCTTGAGTCTCTTCTCAGAATTCTGTCCCCAGGTTGTCATAAGTACAGAGTTCACCCACTGTTTAAAGGCAAGTTTCTATACATTCACGAGCTTGCCAAAGTAAAGCCACGTTAGATAAGGGCCAGACCTAACAGTACAACCACCATCGTAGGTAGAAGCTGCCCATCAATCACAGCCTGGTCTGGTCCCAGGTGGCACCTCACACTCAGATCAGTTCTCTACACTGTGGACACTCAACAATGTGGAATGTCTGACTTAAAAACATCCCTGGGACCGGAAGGCGTTTAGTGGGTTCTACGTGCCTCAGTTACCACCCAGTGTCTGCCGAGTCCATGGTGTTCTTTGTATGAGTTTCTCCCCCACTTCGAGAAAGTTAGCAAAACTACAGGATATTAAAAAATAAAAAAAGACAACCTCCGGAGAAATGGCTAACAAATCCCACATGTGATCTCCCTGGTATAACCAGTTTTAGATCGTTAAACCCTAAAAGAGACCCTGATATTTTAAACTTTGGCTCCGGAGACCAGAAACATCCGCATATTGCAGACTGACACTCTTCAGACCGAGAGTCACCAACTCACCCCAGTCCTGCCAATCATTTCATGCCGGTGTCAACAGCAAGCATTCCTCGCTAGCTGGGAGGGCTGTTGTGTGCCCTGGGGAACGGGTCTAGGAGGTGACACCCCCTCCCTGAGAGCATGTCTGGTGCTCGGCTTATCCTGTTCGGGGGGACTGTGAGGTCACTCTATTTCTTCCCCTCTATTTATTCCAATAGTCACCATGCTCGTCACTCTCGTCTCCTATACCTTCTCTCTCTTGCTTCTCCTGTCTGTCCTTCTTTACTATTCTAGCCTATATTTTAGGAATGATCATTCCTTTAACTGCACCTCTGTCAATACCTCAACTTATTGTCTGCAAATCTCTGACCGTAGAGTCATCCAATTATTTACCTATTCCACTCTTATCTATATTTATAGACTTGGGCTTTGAGAGTGGCTGGAATCAAACATACGACAGACTGTGGCCACTACACACTCGTCTTTATTCTCGTGTGGGCTGCTAACTGCTTCCATCTTCCCTATTCTCCCCTCTCAAAACTCCTTCTTACTCAACAGATCACTTCGCCTCTTGCTTCATCTGGAATATGGAGTCCATCAGGTAGAAAGCGTCTTGTTGCTTCTCTTCCTAAAACAAACCTCAACAAAACACACCTGCCCCCAACACTTCCTCATCTCCCCTTTCCGGCTCCAGTGGAAAGGCTGGTCTAGGACTCTCGACCTCGGTCTCTGCATTTATGTCCCCTCCGACCTTGTCCGGAGCCAGCACCTTCCTCTCTTGCTCATCTGATTTTTGTTACTTGACTGGCTCTTTCGTATCAACATTTACACACGATTAAGTCTCTTCCACCTTAAAAATACACCTGCTCTTGGCTCCTCTCTTCTCTAGTACCACCCTCTTTCTCACCTTCCTTTCATAGATCTACCTGTTCTCATTATTGGCACTTTTGTTCTTCCCATTTACTCCTTGGCCTGTGAGGACAGCAGCAGGATCCTGGATCCCCTGAACTATAGCCAGAACATGGTCTGGCCACGTTACAGGTGGTCGGCAAACGATGATCCGTCGAAGGCGCCCAGTGGGTTCTGGCGTCTGCCCTTCTCTCCCCCACACCTGCTCTTGTGTACACCTGGTGGGTGCTCTTCTGCCCTCATCTTTCCGGCCCCCCAGCAGGTCTGACCCTCTTCGTGACACCTTTTCCCCCGGGCTATAACGACATTGGGGTGTCTCGGTTTTCCTCCCATCACTTTGGTGTCAGCTCTTTCTCCGTGATGCTTTCTCTTTACCTCTCAGATGCCGGTGTCCCTGGGGATCTGCCTGGGATCCTTTCCTCTTCGCGCTCTCCACTCTCGCTCAGGGATCCCACCCCCTCCCACAACTCCAACTCCCTCCTGTCCGCTCAGCGTTCTCAGATCCATCTCTTCAACCTCCTCAGACTTTTCTTGAGCTTCAAACCCACTCTTCTCCATTCGCATGTGGTTAGTTGGCATCTCACCGCCTCCGAGGCTCCTTGGGTTCCTGGAGACCTGAATTTCCTCTTGAGTTCTGTTTGAATGAACGCACCCAGGGTTCCCCCTCAGACACCTGAGGATGGCCCTGGATGCCTTTTACTGCTCACGCCCACAGATTTCTCGGTCCCATCCATACTCCTCCCCTGGTCACTCCTGAATCTGTCCAGTTCTCTCCGGCCTCGCCACCATGCCTTGGGTCAGGTCGCTAACCGTACTCCTGTTCCCAAGCCCTCCTGTAGCCCTCCGCACTGTAATCTGGCCACGAAAACCCACATTTCTAAATGTGCATTCAAGCCACGTCAGGGCTGTGCCTGTTCACGACCGCGGGCTCCACAAATGTTGCTCTGAGCGTCCACAACACTGTCTGGCATGTGGTTAGTCGGCATCCGATAAATATTCATGTAATGAGTGAACGATTACGAAGGCCCTCGTGATCCGACCTTGCTGTCTCTCTGGTTCAGCTCCACACTTCCCCTTGCACTATGTGTTCTATGAGGCCTAAACGATTCACAGTTTTCTGGTTAGACCATGCTCTTCCTCGTCTAAAGGGCTTTGCTTAAGCTCTTTTCTCGTAGAACCATTCTACCTGGTCGCTCATAAACAAAATCCTGCAAATGCAGGTTGGGTTTTTGGGGTAAATACACCTATGTTGGGTAGGATCTATGTATTTAAAATATGAAAAGTGGTGACAGTAGCACTGTACACATCCTTGGAGTTCTGATATTTTCTCAAGAGATAAACAGGGACTTCCACTGCTATTTCTACTATGCCACAGGGCACGCAATAGGTATCAGATAAAGGTTGGCTGCTTAACTATAGACACCCAGGCATAAATAGAATGCAACGCTGGGTCACATAATTAACCTCTTAGGTGTAAAGCTTAAGCAAAGACTTTTTCCGACTCGATTTTTCATGTCCTTTGGATGTTACCTGGGATACAGGACACACCGTTCCTCTATGGATCGAGTCCTGTCACAGAAGTTAGCTGCTGTCAGATGAAAATAAGTTTATATTCAAAGGATAAGAGGACCTTCTCTGCCCAGACCTGAAGAAGCTGAGAGAATCCTGCTGAGAGCTAAGCGTGCCCCTGACAGACAACCATGGTGGCGAGCTCCAAACTCCAAAAGATGCGGACTTGTGAGAGCAACAAAGCATCGAGAGAGATGGCCACACAATTCGGGAAGTGCCAAGGGCTGTCGGACCCTGATCTTGTAAGTGATGTTCATGGCCATATGGTAAAAAAAAAAAAAAATGATCATGTTGCTTATAGAGAAAAGGCTTTTCAAATTCTTCCATAAAAAGGTGTTGACTTGGAAACTGGTATTATTCCCTCCAATAGCGAGAGATTATTATATGAAATGCTGAAAGTCCC